ATATGTACACAATCACATAGAGTAAATAGTAAAATGAGAAAAAACACAAGATTTAACGTGATTCGACAGAAATGCCTACGTTCACCGGTAAAATTGAAAAAAAAAATTTCTATTATGATAAAAATTGAGAGTATATCACCAATAAAGTTATAAGTTTTTGTATACATAAAATATTAAGATTTTTCTCGAAATATTTCCAGAAGATACCGCAATATTTCTCAAAATATACACAGAATATTTCCAAATAAAGTCACACCAACACAAACTATAGGAGATTAAACAAAACAAAAACAAGATGACTTCAAGGCTATGTTTGGAGCAAACAAATTTGTATATGCGCAATCCATCTATAAATTCAGTATTATGCTATGAGAGGATGGAGATACTCACAAAACTTTTATAAAAAATGGTGGAGTTGATAAAGAATTTACTGTAAAATAGAGAAAGATGAGATACCCAGTACCGACAGGACCCCCAATACCAACAGTAAAAGCTCTCTCATCGAAATTCCTGGTGAGAAGTGGTGGAGCTCTTCTGCTGAAGTAGCCAGGCGAGTAAATGGGTTCGTGCGAGTGTGGCGCGAGTCCATCGTGGCTATGGTAGATTCTCCCATCAGGACCAACCCATGATGTTGTCGAGTCTTCCTGAGATTTCCTGTCAAATAATTTTACCAGTAAGCAGGAGAGTGATAAATGAAAACCCAAAAATTCTGGAGGAGATTACTCGTGGGTATGGTGGTGATGGTCGTGATCGTGGTGACGGTGGTCGTGATCGTGAGAAGCCATTGACTGAAAACTGAAGTCTGCTAAGAGTGTACTGCGGTCTCAGACCTTTGGGTTTGCTCTCTTTTTATCTCAAAATTTTTACTTCAGCTTTAAAAAGAAATACTTTCAAAATCCATTTTAATTTTTTTCATAAATTATTAAATTATTTATTTATTTGAAATATTTAATTTTATAAATTTGAGAAAATTTAAATAAGAAATATTTATTTAAAAAAAAATTAAATTTATAATTTCTGTTTCAACATAAAAATTTGAAAAAGTAATTAAAAAAAAGTATTTAATAAATTAAAATTAAATTGGTAATATTCCCTTCGACTGAAAATACGCACCCTAAATTGTCAACTCTCTTCTTCGTCTCTGTAAAACCTTACACGCACCAAAACCGCCGCTACCTCCCCTCTTGTCTCTGATCAGTCTAGGTCTCTCCTCACCGACGGACGGTAAGTGAGGTTTCTGGTTTCTAGCAGCAGTCGAGTGTTCCGGTTACGTAGCATTAGATGCCTCGAACGACTACAGTTGAGTGTTCTGGTTGCCCTCCGCTTCGAGCTCTAACATTCGATTCTCTCGGTCTTATCAAAGGTGATTATTCGTTGATTTTCTCCATTGCGTCCAGAAAAATTAGTCAATTTGGCTGCTGCTTGCAACTTTATACTTCTATTTATTGCATTCTGTGCTTATTCTCCCGTTGTTCTTGGATAATATGATGATAGTTGTTGAAGCTCGTGATAAGCAAGGAGAGGTTCCTAAGGTGGTTGATAGATGGGGTGATCCGGATTCCTCCAAATGTGTTCTTGCCGCTTCTTTTGATGACAGCAGATCAAACCCGGTACTTGTTTTTTTTTTTTTCTCATTTTTTAACAAAATGAGAACTTTTAAATTTTCTGTGCTTGTTCTCAATATGTTTTTATTGTAATTTGTGTTTGAAGTTAGTAATTTGCATTTGGGATGCTAGAAAGTATTGGCAGGTTGATTAATGCTGCACATTGGCAAGTTACTAGTGTTTGAAGTGGGGTCATTGTTTCATGAAAAATTGGTGCCAATTAGTATTGTCTTAAGTGACTACCAGAAGAAAATGATGAACGTAGCTCCCATATTCATGTTAACTGCTGCACTACTGCTTTTTTGTGTGTATTAAACTATATTGCAAATTGATGCCTTTTGATGCTATAGCATATGTTTCGTTCTTGGTCATGGTGATAAAGGAATCAGCTTGAAGATGCAATGCCCTCATGTATTGCCTTTATATGCTATATGATTCTTGGTCTGTTAGTTTCTCACGTGTTTTTCTAACTGCACTTTTGAATTATTTCAAGTTGAACATTTGTTAACATCACATGCAAAATTAAAAATGAAAAAGAATTATTCCTATGTGCTTAATATGTGGTGCTCGTAATCGTCAACTTGGTGTACACTTCACTCCCTTTTCTGTTAGCCTGTATTTAGTTTTGTCGCGTTACTGAGATCGCTTTCTTATTGAGATTCTAATTTTTTAATTCACATCCAACCTTCTGTTTCAGTTGTTGGCGGTTGCAAGAAGAAGTGGTGAGGTAAGTTACTTTATTTTGTTCTCATTCTTTTTTAGCTTAGAACATCAAGAACATTGAGCTTGATTTTTACTGTTCCTTAGTAGTTCTAGGAGTTGATGAGCCACTCTTTGATGTCTTATGTCCATAAATGTGCTTGCAGGTTGAGATTCTCAATCCTCTTAATGGAGATGTCCATGTGGCAATTTCTGCTGCCAGTAATCCTGATATTCGATCTAATGATGATGCTATTGTTGGCTTGCATCTGTTCAAAAGGCAACAGCTAGAGCAAGAACGAAGGTACTGAATTTTGTTTGTTCTTTGCTTCTTTTTCAATACTAAATTGGGACTCAACAAGATC